AGTGAAAAAAGTCAAAATATCCAAGATTTCGACCAGGAGAGCTTATTTCCGCCGCCTACAGCATCGAGATTCAACTCCCAGCGCCTCTCTTCTGCGTTCTCGTTACTCTTTCTCTTCCCTTTCCTTTTTTCCTTCGTCTTTAACCTTTGCTCCAATCACACGCTAGGTTTCCCCTGCACTGATCACTCGAGATGTTCGACGAATTGCCCCTAAGGCGGCATACACCTCGCCGACTCCGTCTCTCTTTCCATACTGATCTTTCCATGGTCCTCTCTTGCTCTGCTCTCCAATTGTATGTCTGCACTGAATTCCTTCCATTGCCATAATAAGCGAAGCAAACGACGTGAGAAAGATTCGATCTTGCCGTTATGGATCATCAGTTAGCCTCTCAAATCTCCCCACGGGCGGCTATATCTCGCGTCTTTCCGGACCTCTCCGACATCAGCGCCGTTCCTCCCATGAACGCATTGGAGATATTGAGGGAGACTGCCCGGATCCTCCGCACAGATCTCTCTACTTTCATGACCATCTTGGCCCTTCTAATTTGCCCCGTCTCCTCAGCTTTGCTCTCCAATTTCCTCATCGACCAGGCTATCGTTACTGTCCTTGGACGCCGCCTGATGCTTCTTGCGGTCACCAGTGGATTGCCATCCACACATTTCGTCAAACAGATCTGCCACCATCTTGCAGGCACCATTGTCTCTTCTACCTTCTGCTTCCCTTTCTTGATTACTTTCCTTCTTTTAGCCCGGGCCTGCATTGCTTATTCCGTGGCCTGCAACTATGCAGGAAAGAAAGTTTTAGCCACAGAGTTTATGGGAATGGCTCGTCGGATTTGGAGGAGTCTTGTATCAACCTACATTTGGGTTTGTGCTGCAATTGTTGGTTGCCTTGCCGTCTTCATCCTACTCATAGTTGTTGTCTGCAATTCACTTGCTGCATTGGGTTATCCTCCAGAGCTCATTGTGTATCCAGCATTGCTGACAATCTTAGCATTTTCCGTTGCTTATGCACATACAATTATAGTATGCAATCTAGCTAATGTGATCTCTGTATTGGAGGATGGATCAGGACCGAATGCTCTTTTGCGGTCAGTGAGGTTGGTGAAGGGGCAGACACAGGCAGGTCTGCTGATATTTCTTGGGTCGGCCATTGGTTTTTCTTTTGTTGAAGGGCTGTTTGAGCACAGGGTGAAAACATTGAGCTATGGTGATGGTTCTTCTCGTATATGGGAATGGCCTCTGTTGGTCCTCATGTATTCTTTTGTTGTTCTGGTTGATTCTATGATGAGTGCCGTTTTCTATTTTACATGTAGGTCTTCTGCCATGGAAGCTTTGAGTGGGAATGTCCTTGCTGTTCAAGAATTGGAAAAGCTTTCATCTTGATAAGATTCAGCCAGTGTAGGATAGATTTTTGGCTCAGTTTTGGATAGTGATACTATTTACTATCTCTTCATTGTCGTTAATAATTACAGAACGACGGTGCCATGATTTTCAGTCACAGAATTTAAACTAAGCCATCTCTTCACACAGAATTATGGTTGATGGATTTCCTTGCCGTTGCAGCATGAAAACTGAATGTTCTATTGCTGATAAGTGTATTCAGTCAAAGCAGATTATCAGAACGGACTCCCACATATTATTTGCACATATGTATGTTCATTTCTAAACAAGCCAACCATTCTGGTGATCTCTTTGCTGAATATCTTTTCTGTCGCTGTAGGATGGATCATTTTGTATAAGAGATTGTTGACTGCAACATCACGATTGGAAATTTGGATTGCTAGATTTTCTTTCAGTTTTAATCTTATCCGTCATTTTGTGAGTAGTTTGACAAACATTTCTGGTTCCTCAAGCACTCAAACTTTGAAAATTCATCGTTTTACAATGGTTTTGGGGAGCTTAAGCTTAGATTTCTCTACAGTTGAATATAAAATTTCCTCAGAACAGTGAGCCTTGCTTTATGCCTGAAAAATACAGGCCCTGCTTCGATTTTGCATGCATGAATTCAATTTTCTCTAATTACTATGGTAATTCTGATGCAGCAACAGATCTGCAATAAGAAGCCAGAAGAAGCAGGAAATAAGAAAACAGATATAAAGCCTTGGATATAATTCTGTGTGTGTGTATATTTCTCATGACAAAAGGTATATATCTCCTTGGGTGCTTCTTTCAGACTACCATAACTAGTAACAGAAATTAAAAACTAAGACTTCGTTTGGGACGGCTTTCTTTCTGCTTCTTAAAGCAGCTTTTTAGTAAAAAATAATATAAAGCTACTTTAAGAAACAGAAAGAAAGTCGTCTGAAAAACGACGCCTAAGATTGTACTACTAAAACACAAAAGGGAATAAAACGGTTAGTAGTATAGTGGGAAGCAAGCTGCTCTAGCGATAAGATAACTTGAGTAGAAGGAAGTCCGCCTAATGTAGCCTGCATCAGGTCTCCCCTGCTTTAGAAGAACTCATCTCCGATGATATAATGGTGGAGTCGAGATTGTCTAGAGGATGATAAGAATACATATCAACAACATTAAAAATTGAAGAAGTCTGGATTTCCTTGGGCAGGTTAATGATATAAGCATTGTCATTGATTCTACGTAAAACCGAAAAGGGTATGAATTTCTTTGGGTTTAGTTTTGAACAGGCACTGGCCGGAAATCTGCCTTTGCGGTAGCGCAACATAACTAATTCACCTTTCTTTAATATCCTTAAAAACATGATCAACAAATTTTATCCATTTAAATTCTCCCTTGTTATGACAATTTGTAAATAATGCTATTTTAATACTTAATCCATTAGTGAACCCTCTCTAGAAAGTAGCCTATCCTTGAAAGCTCTAATGTCATTTATATTGTTGGGTATTAAACAATTATAAATTATTTTAATTTTATGAAGGTCAACAAATAATCATCACTTTTATCTTAAAAATAATATGAATGTATTTATAATCTACCTGATATAATATGTGATAGAATCAAAGGCAAAATATCACACTAGATTTTATCAATACATGTAGTCAGTTTATAAATGGGATTTAAATATTTTATTTTTTGTAAAAAAAAATTATAGTTTTATAAACTCAAGCTACTTTCTATTTTGTAGGTGAGGTTGGAATCTCACACTCATGTCACCAATTGCATATTTAGTTACAATATTCATACAACACCCATTGTAAATAATTTTTTTGCAGAATTAATCATCTTATTTGAAATAATTAAGCATGAAAAATAATTATTCAATTTTATGCTAAATAATATATATATAAAGCTTTCTTATTTTATTTTGAGAGAGAGAAAGGGATATAGGCGGTTTTTGAGAGTGGGCAATGTTTCGGATCAATGAGAGCCCGAAGGCTCTAACTTATCTCGTAAATGAGCTTTCGAGTCAAGTTTATCAAGGGACAAATTCGAGCTCAAATATTAAACAAGCTCAAGTTGTTGGCTCGCAAGCCATTTTAATTAAAATATTATTTTTTTTCAATTGTAATAATATTTAGAATTGGTACTAAAATTTTATGTATTTAATGATAACATTTAAAATAATTTTACATCACAACAGCTTATTGAAAAAAAGTTATATCATCATTTATCATAATGTACTATGTATAGTTTTTTTCAGAATCAAATAAAAATAAAAAAGTCTGATTCCGCTTCTTCTTTACCTCTCCACGGCTACATCATGGTACGCGACTTCATCGTCGAAGAAAAAATCTCGCTGGCAACTATATATCGAGTCAAGCCTTGAGCCTGATTTGAATGCATTAGCTGTTGAAGCTCGTTCGCTGGGCTCGACGTGAGCTCGAGCTCAAGTTCAAGCTTTTTATTTAAATGACGAGTTGAGCCCGAGTTTGTTGTGACTCGAGCTCAACTCGACTCGATTATTATAATAATTATTATTTTCTTCCAACTAGCCATACCAAGGATTCTAAAACCAAAAATCTAATTTTTATCTCATTATATGAGATCAGCTACATCAATTATTTTTCTCCATTATATCATATTAAGAGTCAATTTCTCATTTAAATCTAATAAAAAAGATTATTCATAATACTTGATAACTAAGTTTTTTATAGGCCTACCTCTATTTTCTTTAACTTAAGTTGTATACAATAAATACATCTACTCCTAACAGGATATTCGGAAGGCCGATGTTTTATGTGACCAAACCATCTAAGGCGACTCTCTCTAATCTTATCTGCCACTAGAGTATTTTCACATATATACTCGCTTCACATTATGTCTCTAAGTGTAAAGCCACTCATCCACTTGAGCATCCTCATTTTTGTAACACCTTACTTAATTTTATGCTTCTCTTTTAATGACCAATATTCTATGCCATAAAATATTACAAGTGTCACTATCATCATATCAAATTTTCTCTTAAATTTGCGTGGTTACTCTATCACATAAGAGACCCCATGCATTTCTCCACTTTAACCATCTAACTTGACTTATTTTAATAATATTTCCATCTATTTCGCCATCGTTCTGAACAATAAATTTGAGATATCTAAAACGTGTACTTGTTTTAATGACCGAGATTGCGCTTCTAATTCTCTTCGATTTGGTACGGGACCCTGCCATCCTGTCACCTCTACCTACTAGAGCACGAGATTGACCCGCATAACCTCTGGCAACATCGACAACCCGACCGTTCCTCTTTTTCTTGGACAAGAACTTTCCTCCACCTCGAGATCGCCTCAACGAGGCTTTCTTAAACTTTGGTCGAGTATAAGGCTATCACTGACAAGCTAAAGCACATAATCTCCACAATATATGATTTAGCATAAACGAGTAAAAATTGTAAAATAAGATCTACCAGATTTAGGGAGAGATTTGACAAAACTTCAAGGAGATTTACTTTTTCCTATATAACAAAGGTTTTTATGTTAATATTTTCTTGCACAATTGATTAGGCCATAAACTATTTTTATTATTAAGAGTTTTTATTTTTGATTCTCCTAATATATACTCTGTAACATTCTTAACATCACAATTATTTTTTCTTACATAATATTAACTTTCTTGTACAACAATAATAACAGCAACAACAACAACATCAAGCCTTCATCCCACTATGTGGGGTTGGTTACATAAATCTTTTTTCTCCATTGTGCCCTATTAAAAATTAAATTATCCATTGTTCATCACAGTTCATTGTGCTTGATCAAATCAAATATGGTGGTCCCTTCTTAGCAATTTCAATGATCTAAACACTTCGACAAGCAATCGGTTTTATGAGATGAATAAAATTTTAATATTATAAATGATTAACACTTTTCAAAGTATCCTAAACTTTGGTGGTGTATAATTAAGGCTATCACTAACATTTTAAAACACATAATCTCCACAAAATATGATTTAGCATAAACAAGTAAAAATTTAAAGTAAGATCTATCAGATTTAGGCTCCGTTTGGAATTGCTTTCTTATTACTTCTTAAAACAGTTTTTTAGTACAAAAAATTTTATTTTTTACTATAAAGCTGCTTTATGAAACAGTAAGAAAGTCATCCCAAACGAAATCTTAGATATATATTAGACAAAACTTTAAGGAGATTTAATTCATCCTTCTCCAAATTGATTTAACCATTAACCCCAATTTATATGTTGTCAATTAGCTTCTCTTCTGAATTTTCTCTCCATTTAACCATTAAGCTCCAATTGATTCAAATCTATGTTTTTTTTTTAATAAATTAGATCCTCAGAGCTCTCCACAGGTAACCACTTCATATCACTATCTGTTCACTTACACACATCTTTTAAAAAGCAGCTGTCCAACAGGAGGTATTAAAAAACAAGTAGATTTACCCCGCTCGTTTGGTCTGGGTGGTGAAGAGCGGCTGGGCAAAGCCTAGGTCTCGGGTTCAATTCCCTTGGCAAGCAAGTGAAAGCCTTAAGTGTATGGTCCGGTAAATTGGTGTAGGGTGCATGCTAGGTCGACCGGGGTTTTCAACTGGCCTATAGACAGGCATTCCTCGTCACAAAAATTACTATAGTGTAAAGATACGGATTCCTAGACACATTGTAATATTTTATGGCATAGAATATTGTCATTAAAAGAGAAGCATAAAATTAATTTAAGGTGTTACAAAAATGAGGATGATCAAGTGGATGAGTGGCTTACACTTAGAGACATAATGTGAAAGCGAGTATATAGTGAAAGAACTCTAGTGGCAGATAAGATTAGAGAGAGTCGCCTTGATGGTTTGGTCACATAAAACATCGCCTCGAATACCTGTTTAGGATAGATTATTTATTGCTATACAACTTCAGTTAAAGAAAATAGAGGTAGGCCTATAAAAAACTAGTTATCATATATGAAATAATCTTTTTTTTAATTTTAAATGAGAAAATTGACTCTAATATGATATAATCGGAGAAAAAAAAATTGATGTAGCGACTCATATAATAGAGATAAAAATTAGATTTTTTGGTTTTAGAATCCTTGTATGGCTAGTTGGAAAGAAAATAATAATTATTAATAATCGAGTCGAGTTGGCTCGAGTCATCAACAAACTCGAGCTCAACTCGTCATTTAAATAAAAAGCTTGAACTTGAGCTCGGAGCATCACGTCGAGCCCAGTTAGAACGGCTTCACAGCTAATGCATTCAAATCAGCTCAAGGCTTGACCGAATATATAGTTGCCAGCGAGATTTTTTCTTCGACATGAGTCGCGTACCATGATGTAGCCGTGGAGAGGTTAAAGAAGAAGCGGATCAGATTTTTTTATTTATTTATTTGAATTCCTGAAAAAACTATACATAGTACGCAAATTATGATCAATGATGATAAACTTTTTTTCA